TGGTAAAGTTATGTATTTAACCTGCTTCAAACTCAGCTGTCTACAATGTGATGGTGAAGTCTTGGTCAAGATTGAAAATAGCGAGGGTATACTCTATATTTCGAAAGACTGGGTACAGGAATTAATTACCATAAGCAAATTGGTATTTAAAAGAATACGAGTACTGTCTCGTTTGAACTTTTACGAGTACTACGATAGAATATTGTATTTGACTATACATGAAAATTTACTGGAAGACGCCAAAATCTTTCCGCATATAGAATATTTATGTTCTACAGAAGAGAGTGAGCAGAGCTACTGCATGGAGGACTACATGCGTTTTGGAAAAATGCAGATAAAACAAGATATCAACAAAAGGATAGCATGGGACATACCTGTGTTTTAATAGAAATTTACCTGTAAACTAATAATAATAAATGTATTTTTAAAATTCAGTGTGTGTGTATGTTTTATCCTTACCCCCATAAAAAAAAGTAAAAAAAAAAACAAGTAATTGCGTAAAATAACTTTATTAAAGAAAAAAAAAATAACAACAAAATATAACCAAACAAAACATAGTACCACCGGAATGAAACCATCAGAAATTACCCCCAACAACGGAGATTCTCGCATATAATTTACCAAAAAAAATTTGCAGTGCAAAAGTCAATCGACTATTTGGTAGTACGGTTTTTGTAATTCGACTTCATAAAACGAAGCTTTGATTTAACGCCCCTCCATATCTTCCAAAATATACGTAAGAGGGAAGGAACCACTTACTTTAACAATCTTGAAATTTTCGGGGTGTCCAATTAATTTCATAACTTTTGTCAAAAACCGATTTTGTGCCACTTATGCTCACTGCATCGCCAGCTTTGAACTTTGACTTTTGCACTGCAAATTTTTTTTGGTAAATTATATGCGAGAATCTCCGTTGTTGGGGGTAATTTTTGATGGTTTCATTCCGGTGGTACTATATTTTGTTTGGTTATATTTTGTTGTTATTTTTTTTTTCTTTAATAAAGTTATTTTACGCAATTACTTGTTTTTTTTTTACTTTTTTTTATGGGGGTAAGGATAAAACATACACACACACTGAATTTTAAAAATACATTTATTATTATTAGTTTACAGGTAAATTTCTATTAAAACACAGGTATGTCCCATGCTATCCTTTTGTTGATATCTTGTTTTATCTGCATTTTTCCAAAACGCATGTAGTCCTCCATGCAGTAGCTCTGCTCACTCTCTTCTGTAGAACATAAATATTCTATATGCGGAAAGATTTTGGCGTCTTCCAGTAAATTTTCATGTATAGTCAAATACAATATTCTATCGTAGTACTCGTAAAAGTTCAAACGAGACAGTACTCGTATTCTTTTAAATACCAATTTGCTTATGGTAATTAATTCCTGTACCCAGTCTTTCGAAATATAGAGTATACCCTCGCTATTTTCAATCTTGACCAAGAATTCACCATCACATTGTAGACAGCTGAGTTTGAAGCAGGTTAAATACATAACTTTACCAGTCGGGCCTGCTAACAATAACAATGGAAGCTGTTGTATTAATTCTGTGAAGTCTATCTCGTCGAACGAAATGCTTCTTTTCTCCGCCAAAACGTAGGGAATAAAGCTCACTTTCACTGCCGGAGCGAAGATTCTTGCTGGGCTAAGACCTGAGGTAATTTCTAGTCCGAATTCCGGCAGCGTAATTGCTGCCTCGTAAATGTATTTTTGTTCGCGGATTATTTCCGCATTGACCACAAATCTTCCCCACGAATCCAATGCTTGCGTTGGATAATTTTCGACTTCGGACATTTTTCTCACTCTGCACTTATCACGAAATTGTATGAGTGGAAACTGAATAAAAAATTAAAATTTCTTATAGCTTATATATGTATAACCCCACCCATTCCCCAGATCCAAAGCGAACGCCGCACATACTTGTTTCGACAGGAAAAAAACCTGACGGAGAACCTCCATCCATCCCGATTTTTTTTTTTAGACAAGCTCTGACAAGAAAAAAGTACGTATCAAATAATGCGCCATTTTAAAAGGGGACATATTATCAATAGTGAAACTATTTATATTAAGATATACCTTTATCCTCTTTGCAAATAATTTTCTACTCGCTCACAGGTAGGATCATGAAGATCCTTCAATATTTTGTTGCACCAGGTATTTAGCTTAGCCTAGAATTCTTTTGAAAAATTATTATTTTTAAAAAAGGCGCGCGCTAGATCAGTTGCCGTTTCAGCGATATTTCCTTGTTTCCCGTGTCGGAGTTTATCTCTTTTCTTTTGTGCATATTCTTGTTTTAATTAAATCTTGATGATCTTTTTATGCCAATTTTGACGATCATCTAATTTTTTGTAACTAAAATTAATTCAATAGAAACAATTAAGGCGAGATGATGCCCGGCAGCTGTTATATTAGGTATGAAAAAGTCAATTTGGATGAAGGAGATGCTTCTTTTGTCCCGACAATGTACAAGAATAAACCTGTCTAACCATAGCAAAATGGGGCCCAAAACTGTGACACTAGGCGAGAGTATGCGTTATTTGGAAGTTAAATTTTAAAAATCCTTTGTAAAATATTCACGGGGAGGGTGTCAAGGCGTCAATTTTTATAAACATCGGAGGTCAGTGTCGGAGAAATAAGGGTTCTACCCTTTTCTCCTCGTCTCTTTTTAACTCCGTTTTGAGTAATTTGTAATAATTTGAGAAAAAAAAATTCAGTACCCGAAAAATGGACACACATTTGCAAGCAAAACAAAAAAAATAGGATACAAAAAAAAAACTATAAAATATAGGCGCCAATGCAGGCAATAGTTTAAATACGGGAAGTTACATTTTTAAACATAAATTCAGATTTTCGGTGGCAATATAACTCTATTTTTCGTGTTTGTTAAGATTTATATACATAATATCAAACCAGGCTTTGGAAACGTCTGGTTAAGGCCACAGGCCATTAGCTTCTAAATAAACGCGAGATGTCATGAAAACCAAAAAAGTTTGAATGGAATCTAACGTTTCCTTTTGTTTCTCAAAAATAGTAATTAAGCGGAAAAGTACTCGTAGTATATTGATTAATTGTAGAAATGTCTCATTTTCTACAAAACAACTTAAGTTAAATAAAATGCAAATTAAATTATTATAAATTACCGCTTTGTTGTATTCGCTATTTACTATGCCCCAACTTACGACGACACTGGAGGGTAGCTTAAAATTTGACCTGCTTAGTTTACCTGCCTTTCGTAGGAATGCGGGTTGTTTCACGTGTCAGTCGAAGTTTAAAGAAGCGTTTGTGTTAAGGGTTCGTTTCTGTTATACGCGTTTGTTGCTTAATGCAATATCGCCAACGAGTTTAAGTTTTGTGTTCAATGTGTGTTTCATATACGGATAAATAAAACAAAAAAGACTGGAAAAAGATAGGTAAGAAGCTTTCGGAATTGCGACTTTAATGAGTAACCGCGTAACATTTTGACCTAGTATTATGTATATGTTCGACGAGGTTTCTATACTTAATTAAAAAAAATTGGGGAGTGATCAAAGGAGGCTGAGGTCGGAGATACGGATCTTGGTTAGTATCAATTTTTGTTTAATAAAACAACCAAAAATGCTCGCTTACGTTTTTGAAGTAGGTAAAAAGGAAACAGAATTTTAATAGAAATAACGCACGATATATCTCCCAAAAAATTCAGCCATATGAACAACGCGAAGAAGTTAAGCAGATAAAATTTTACAAGATTTTTGGGGGGCCAAGTGTAAATTCGGATTGTGGAAAGTAATAGATAGAGAGAATGAGTGACCTATATAGAAAAAGAGAGACAGAAAGGTAGATTTATTTAAACGTTTCTCAATCATCCACCCATCGGGAGATAATAAATAACATTCGCTAGTTTTTTTTTTTTTGCATGTATTGAGTTAAGTTCGGAATAGGGGATTGTTATACGTCCGCCAGCGTATTAAAAATATGGTTTTAGGGGTTAGAACTTTTAAGTTTCAAGAAAAAAAAACTCATGTTGAAATTTTTGTATTCCGAAGCTTCTGTTGTTTATTAATTTATAGACACTGGAAAATATAATAATAAAACATCCTACAGTTGACATACGTGTCCTCTTAAACTCGAAAAGAGCTAATTTATCTTAGAAGAGTACGTATATTTGGTAAAATAGATATTTTTTATATTAAATATTTGACCGATCGATGTAATTCGTCAAGCAGAAACCGAAAAGAAAAGTGACGCTTGTGGTGTTTGCTGACAATCCGACCCTGCTTCGTGTACAAATGCAATGACATATCGGCAGGGCTATAGGCTACGAAACCTTTCGAACTCGAAAAGGACGAACTGTTTTAAAGAAAAAAGGTACCTCATTTTTGGTAAAAGTAATAGATAATTTTTTTTACGCTAAATACTCCACAGATCGATGTAACTCGTCAAGCAGAATCCGAGAAGAAAAGTGACCGGGGGTGCTGTTTGCTTACAATCCGACCCTGCTTCGTGTACAAATGCAACAAATGCAATGCCATTTCGGCAGGGCTATAGGCTACGAAACCTTTCGAACTCGAAAAGGCGCTACTAATTTTGAATAGGTACTTAATATTGGGTAAAAGTAATAGATAAGATTGTTTTACATTAAATATTTGACAGATCGATGTAACTCGTCAAGCGGAATCCGAGAAGAAAAATGACGGATGTGCTGTTTGCTGATAGTCCAGAACGGCTTCGTGTACAAATGCATGGCGGGGAGACCAGAAAGTTTTCGAAACTGCGTGAGTGGAAGTCTGCGTTGGACAAATTTTGAAAATATCTGAAGGTTTAACGAATTTTGGAGAATTCGACAGAGCTACAGACTACGAAACCTTTCGAAACGAACACACGTGTCCTGTTGAACTTGAAAAAGACGAAATTATTTTTAAAAAGGTATATTGTTGCTAAATAATAGATTTTTTTTAATTAAAATATTTGACAGATCATGGTAACTCGTGAAGCAACATCTCAGAATTGAATCGGGGAACGAGGAATCAAAAAAAGGTTAACAATTTGGATCATTTTGGAAGATACATACGCCGCGCTTTTCAAAGCGGACAGACGTGCCCTTGTCCAACTGAAACGAACACACGTGTCCTGTTGAACTTGAAAAAAGACGAAATTATTTTTAAAAAGGTATATTGTTGCTAAATAATAGATTTTTTTTTAATTGAAATATTTGACAGATCATGGTAACTCGTGAAGCAACATCTCAGAATTGAATCGGCGAGTTGTGTATTTGCTGGCAATCCGAGCCTGCTTGGATCATTTTGGAAGATACATACGCCTGCGCTTTTCAAAGCGGACAGACGTGCCCGTGTCCAACTTGACAAAGGCGGAATTATTTTAGGAAAGGTATATTATTTGTAAAAAAAATATACAATTTTTAAGTAACATATTTGACAGACCATGGCAACTAGTAAAGCAGAATCCGAGAATTCAATCGGCGGCTGTATGTTGACTGACAAGAATATAATTGCTGTTAATCCGGCCCTGCTTCTTGTACAAATGCATAGTGGGGAGACATGAACATTTTTCGAAATTGCGGCCCTATCCTCTTGGGATTCTACGTTGGACAAATTCTGAAAACGACCCAGAAATATAATTGGTGAGAAAATAGTTTTTTTGTTGTGTTAACAGTTAACAATTTTTTATTTTGGAAATAAGGGGTTTCAGTGTGTACTGGTATTAGTGAATCAATTTAATGACCTCAGCATCTCTAAACCCCCATCTTGAGACGCGTTAACGATCCGGATCGAGTTACGTCGCGTAATTGTGTCACTTTTTTAATTAAAAAATGAAAGAGATGTACCTACCATACTTTAGAAACCCCTACTCCCCTTTGGAGGTGATGAAATAAGTTTTGGCATAAAATATAAGTTCCTCGTATTACTTTGATATGATAAGTATAAGTCTTGCCTGTTTTTTTTTTAAAGGAGGTTCAAACCCGTGCGAGGTGAGGTTTGATATATGAAACAGACCAGTCATGGGGACACGAGATATGCAAAGTTTCAGCGTAGTCGTCGCCACATTGCTGCCAACACTGCATATATAAGGAATCACGAACCATTCAGGTAAAATTTTGAAAACACATATTTATGGCAATATAGAACCTCTCTTTTTTTTAACAGGAATATTGAGACTTAGACCAGTATCTTTTTAAGTAGGCATGTGGGGTAAAGAAGACGCAGAAGCTTCAGTCGGGTACCATCGGTAACGTAGGCGATTAATATATTTCCACCACTACATATGTTGGATTGGAATTTCCCATTTGATGCTTTGACTGACTAAATGAGGAAACTTGGAGGTAAGCTCTTACGGAATTCTATCGAAATATGTTTAGTAACATATTGGTGCATTACTCTGTCTTCCAGTCAGTTTCACATAAACTTTGCACGTATTATAGAAATGCCACCTACTTTTTTTGTGTTAATATTATTGAAAGTAGTAGCTGGTAGCTGTAGTCGTAAGCCCAGAGAGTCTCTGTTTTGAACATAATACACAAAATGGGGCGTTCAAAAACAATAGACTGCATGCCTTTTAGAGTCGGCGTAAACTATGGTCATATACCCCTGATCAAATTCAAAACTAGAAAATCGTTGTGTCTCTGCATTAAAAATAATAGTAAAATTTATTGTAGGCACCAAGTAGAGTATCGAAAATTTCCATTTTTAGTGCCAAATTGGTTACTCCAGTAAATTCCAACTGTTCTAATTTTTTTAAAATAATTTATGATGTTAGTGAGTTTCATTGCAATTATTTGTTACTTAAACTTTCTGCGTATTAAACCTTAATTAAAAATACGCTATTCGTTAACGCAGGTAGAATTGATGACGCTGACTAACCTGATTTTGTCCAGGGGGGCGTAGTACGGTAGCTTGTACTGTGATGTTTGGTAGTTTGACGGTGAGCTCTCATTTATAAAACTGGGGAATGTTTCGTTATCTTCAAATCGTAAACACGTATCATTAGAATCATATTTTTAAAATATTGATTAGGACATGTACTAAGTAACTAAATGCTCTAGCAAAAATATTCACACATATTGCGTAAAACGTACAAATTTAAATTAGAGAAAATTAACTATTTTTAGAGGTTGGTTTTTCAAAAAGGCGGGGATTTAGTTAAAGAACAGATAGAGACTAAAGGGAAGCTCTATGAGAAAAGTTAGAATTAAAAAATCGATGTTTTCGTGTCATAGCGAAAGATGGATTATTATTAAAAATAATACTTGCATTAATTGTTGTCACCATTTGTGAAAAATATGGAAAATATCCTCTAGGTTCGCATACCTTTTTTTATTTTTTTTAAGGTGGCTAACAAAATACACAGACAGAAAAGTTTAGATCCTGTTCGTTAATGTAGCGCATAGAAAAAAATTAGAAAGAGAACGTTTCGTGTATGGCATTCGTAGTTAGTACGGAATATTAATCTAAAGGCTGCAAGACAGTGAAAGAGTGATGTGCTTAAGTGTGGTTCAGAGAGGTTATTTGGGCTGTAGAAGTTTTTCTTTGAACAGGGTTCAAATAGCGTCTCCTAGAGCGTTAGCAGAGAAGAGTATTACAGTATTTAGTATAAGCGTCCAGATTTCATTGTTGTTGAAATTGCCATAGAAACACACTTTCATGTAGTAGTAGCAGCAGCTTTAAAGTATATGACTTTTTAGTTAAGATGCCTTTCGAGTTTGCTTTATGGCTTGATAGGAAATTAAAGGGTAGATACAGATAAGTTACGAAAAAAAAAGTATGTACACTATCCTCAAAGATCAGCAATAAATAAAAGAAATTGATGAAATAGTAAAGTTGACTGCGATATCTTATATCATCAATAAGATAGATAAATTAATTTTGAAAATATTAAATAATAAAAACAAATAATAAAATAGCAAAGAAAATCAAAATTATCAATAAGATAGATAAATTAATTTTGTAAATATTAAATAATAAAAATAAAATTATAATAGCAAAGAAAGCCTACCACGGCCACATACACATAATATTTTCGACATATGAACTTTTCCCAGATAAATAGTCAAATATCTCACGATACCTTAAAACAGAAGCATGCGGAAATATGTATGAAGTTAACGCACGGTAGATGGCTTAGTAAATTAATAATGTATATGGTTTCTAATATCCTACCTTATTAATGAAAATTTTAACCAGGTTTTTGTTTTGCAGATATTATTGGTGGTGCCTGCCAGCTTCCAGTTCCGAGAAAAGAAATCCAATACTTTTCGTCTTTATTTCCCCTGTCCTTTGTGCGCAATAAAAGTACAGTTTGTACCCGCCTGGGTACACATTCGCAGAACTATATGTTTTTAAAATAAATGTTATGGTCAATATTCACTAGGTGGGTTACCTTATTAAAGAAAATCTTATTCCAAGAGGGGACACTAGTTTACATTCGAACCGCTAGAGGGTGCAGATGGTCACGCGAACAATATGATCAAGTCTCATTGACGCCATTGCTTTTCTTAGGGGTGGGAAAATATCTGGGCTCTGATTGGCTTCGCCGCCATCGCAAACTAGAGGTGGGGAGATTGATTAAACCCCATTGGTGCTTGCTTATCCAATGGGGGCCAGTTTCAAGGGATTATGGGTAAAGGGGGAGGAGCTAAAGAGTCGTGGGTAAGGAGGACACGCCCACAAAAGGGAGAGGAGTGGGGTTGTCCCCAAGCATACATATCTCTACTAGAATTCTATCAGGAAACAGATGTACCAACAAGTCAATGAATTCAAACTCTTGACTGGAACCTTCGGCACTATACTAACACACAATAAAGCGTTTTACTACAAACCGAAACTCAATTTTACGTACTCGACGCGCGTTTCGCCAACCAAGTTGGCATCTTCAGGAGAAGATTAAAACTAAACTTAATAGAACAAATGTTCTCTATATATATATATATATATATATATATATATATATATATATATATATATATATATATATATATATATATATATATATATATATATATACACATCGGGAAGTGGGAGGGGGAATTACGCACTGTTCACGCAACCAATCATCGCGTATATTGGGCTCAATATCCTTGTTCAATGCCTTATTTCCTCTCTTAACAATTTCTAATCTTTCGTAGGCATCTAATTTTCTACTATTATTTACATGTTTAACTAATTTAAAATTACTAATATCTACCTTATGATTATTGTTGAACATATGTTCGTCAACACTTGATTTTTCTAATCTAGCAAATTTTAAATGAGCTAAATGTTCCTTAAATTTAACATTAATTGATCTTTTGGTTTGCCCTACATATGACTTGTGACAATCGTTACAACATATTTCATAAATTCCCGACTTTTCAAGGGTATCTAGTTTATCCTTGGGATTATCCAAGAGATTTTTTAATTTTGATCAGGACTGATAGACACTTCGAAGACCTGCGGCCCTGAAGACTCTATGAGTACGTAAAATTGAGTTTCGGTTTGTAGTAAAACGCTTTATTGTGTGTTAGTATAGTGCCGAAGGTTCCAGTCAAGAGTTTGAATTCATTGACTTGTTGGTACATCTGTTTCCTGATAGAATTCTGCAGCACAGTGATTACTATTCTGTACATTGAACGTGGATTGGCAGGCATACGTTGAAGCCTCTGTTGAACCCTAACGCGTATTTTGTACTCTGCTTGCGGGTATGGAAATTGCAGGTGGATAAACAGCAGCCATGTACTTTTTTCAAAACTTCTGGAATCCTCCTGAGTCGGTTTTTGCTGAGTCGAACTTGCTGACCTTTCGTCAATGATCCTGTTGGCTTTTTCAGAGCTTGACTGAAACTCGCATTTTACTCTGTACCTGCTAATATATTGTTTGAGGGGGGCGGAGCTAAATGAGGGACATAGACACCGTCTCGAATGACTGATTTCCATATTGGTGACAGGTAGAGAGCTGAGTCGCAGTTAAGATTGTCAGGTTGTTTATATCTTTCGATAGACTCTAAGATATTTCGTTGGCGGAAGAATTGATTAAATACAAGAATTTTAGATTTATCGAACAAAATTTTATGTCCGGTTTCGTGATTGTATTCGGAAACAGCTGATGAGTTTATTTGTTTATTAGTCTAGGCTATATCGTGTTCTTTGAGCCTAGTTGATATTTTCAGCAGTCATGTTGAAGTCTCCATTTTTCTGTCCTTAAAGTAGTAGATATATTAAAGTTCCTATTTGGATATCCCTTACAGTTCTTCAAGTATGAAATCCCGATACACTTTGCATATTGCACAATTCAATTGCAACATCCATTTTGTACTCAACCACACGCAGATACTCTGCGAAAAACCGAACGTGTAGACGGAGCTCTATTAACAAAAATTTCGATGCCAAGAAAATCGGTTCTTCATTATTTCTCGAACGTAATAGCGATTCTCGACCGGCGTCGGAACTCAAAGTTTCACATTTTAAAGTTGAGAGGGTTAAAATGGCCCCGGGAAATTGTATCCCAAAGTTCGTCGGCGTGATGGATCTCAGTCGAAGTGCAAAAGTGTTTCTGCGGAGAACACAAACTTTTTACTTAGGCAAATGAAACTTTTGCAGTGCCTATGCTATTACGGTCGAGATTTTCATCGGCGCCCAATCTAGAAATTACTCTTGATCTAATTTGGGCCTTGTCTGAAGTTACTTTGAGTGAGGAAAATATTTAAGCGGATATAAAATTAATAAACAGTCACCAAGCAAAGAAGGAAAAGAAATTATATATATATATATATATATATATATATATATATATATATATATATATATATATATATATATATATATATATATATATATATATATATATATATATACGTATTGAGTCACGGATGGAAAAATGTGATGACACTATATTCCGGGATATCATCCGTTCGCTTGTTGAACTCCGACTAGAATCCTGCAGACGTTTCGCCAAAATCTCACTTGGCATTTTCAATGCTCGCGCACATGTGTGTTTTCGGAACCAAGTGAGATTTTGGCGAAACGTCTGCAGGATTCCAGTCGGAGTTCAACAAGCGAACGGATGATATCCCGGAATATAGTGTCATCATATGTATATATATATATATATATATATATATATATATATATATATATATATATATATATATATATATATATATATATATATATATATATATATATATATTTATTTATTTATTTATTTATTTAGCGCTGGTGAAAGAACGATTAGTTTGGAATTAAATTGGAGGACAGAATGTACCGCCTTACTGTAGAGAGAATGTTATGAACGGGAACTATGTAAGAAATGGATATGGATATGGAAGTGAAAATAAAGTAAAATACAAAGATCTGGTGAAACGTAATTTACAAGCATATTGATTTCCCGACATTTAAGTGAGAGAGATTCTCTCATTGCTTAGAAAAAAAAGAATGTGCATTGTACATTGCAGGCAATGGAAGGAGAACATTGTTGAGAGAAAAGCACGTATTATATACATGAAAGTTTCCTTCTCATAAGTAAAAAGTACAAACATAAAAATAAGCCATTCACTGTAATAGGTTATGGAAAAGATTACTC